CCCCAAAACCCCAAAACCCCAAAACCCCAAAACCCCAAAACCCCAAAACCCCAGTTCAGCTACCCCTGGATCCGCCCACAGTTTAAATATTTAGTTCTTGTTGACTTCTGCAGAGATCACGCATGAACTCTGCTTCTTTACTGGACTTCTTTCTTTATGGAGATGTCTCGAAGTGGTTCTGGGGGCTTCGCCGAGAGGAGAACGGATGCTGATCAGACGTTTAGGGTTCTTTTGTTTTGAAGGAAGGTTTTCTAGAAGGTGAGGGAAAGGTACTTTTTAGTTCAGACCCGAGTATTTTCAGAGGGGATTTCAGGGATTTTCTGAGGGATCTGCTAGAGCGGCTGGATTTTAGAGCTCGGATACAGAAGGAGGATGAGGTTAGTCCTGGCCTGGGTTCTTGGGAATGAGAAAGAATGAATTACTGGTGAGGTTCTTTTGCATCGCTCGAATTTCGTTAAAGAGGATAGAGTGAGATGATCTTTTTGTGAAATTCCTCTAGATCGGTGTGGTTTACTCATTCTTTATCAATTCTCTAAAGATGAAGTAAAACAATACTTCTCCTATCTCCTCATGTTTATATTGATCAACTATGGGGTTATAAGGAAAGTACCTTTGAGGCCAAGCCTAGCTTCAAACTCAGGACGGCTAATTAAGTGAGTTCCTAGCTTGGAGAAAATTTTTCTTTCGGATCTAGGGTGAATAAAGGTGTTACTTTTTAAGATTTTTCTCCTGTTCATCCAAGATATAGGAATGTATTTTATCAATATCTCGATTAAAATTTTTGATATCCTTCTCTCTCTTTAATTTAATTTCCCTATTAATAATATCTATGACTCTTACTCTGTATCATCATGAAGTGTATTGATTTCATCTAAATTTTAACTTCCTCCTTACCTTTGACATCATCAATAAACCCTTGAATATTTTCAATAGCTTCTTTAACGATCAACTACGAATCATTCCTCCCAATTACCATTTCATGCTTAGAAGATTTCTACACATAAACTCCCCCCTACCTATACAAAACCAGTTACCCAACTCCCTCTATAACTCCTATCCCCACTCTCCCACTCCCTTAACCCCTACACCCCTCAGCCCCTTCTTCAAGCCCAGTCTTCCAAATCTCAGCTGCACTGACCTGTCATATGTTCTCATCAAACCTCCTGATGATCCTGTCTGTGGCTTCACATCTCTGTAGGGTCAGTGGAGGAGGTACCATTCTGCTGTTTTCAGCTAGGGGGGATTATTAGGGAGGTTTAGTGAGATAATGGTGTTTGGGGGGTTGGCGTTAGGAATTAAATATGGAAAATTGTGCTTGGTGAAGGGTTTGGTTGGTGCTTCGATAGAGTTTTTGGTCAAAAATTTATTGTTCAAAGAGTAATTTATTCTGATCAGAGTATAACTTATTTGTGATCATCAATACTGTAATACAAATTACATATAAAAGACAGCTTCGGATATTAACTGACGTCCATAATCGAAAACTGTCAAATCTAAGTTCAAGGAAACCTTGGTGGATGTTGTAGACAGATGTGTCGCTTGTGGTCGCTCACTGACTGATTATCTCAGGAGCACATTGAGCTGAAGCTTTCTACTAACAAGTGAAGAATCCAAGTAACTTGTTTGTACGGAGAAGGACAAGTAGTAAATGAGAATATTTGAACTGTAGATCCAAAACTTGGACAATAGAGTATGCCTTCAACTAACAATGTTAGAAATACTCCCTATATAGATACCAAAATAAAAATTCCTAGTAATCCCTCCATTCCCCAAAGCTCTAATCCCAAACACTCTCCAAATTCCCCCAAATCCACCTTCCCTTCCTCTACACCCCAATCCTCACCTACGTCCTTGGCCGAATCTATCATCGGGAGTATCTGTTCCTTAAACCTAATGAACTCTATTTTCTTAAGATGCTCTGCCTACAGAAAAGTAAGAACACTACTGAAGTAATAACCAGTTTAAATAGCCTTTAAGAGCTGTTTAACGGCGTCTAAGAGGAGAAATAGAGATATTGGGAAGAGTTACCTCTAAAGTGTGGAGATTGGACTGGATTTTTGAGATTTCTTTGTCTGTGTGTTCCAGGCTGACTAGAGGTGGGTTAGGGACCTTACGTGTGTGGTTTTTAGTAATTGTTGCTAGGCATTTCGAGTAATCTCTAATTGTTGTAGACCACGGATATACTTTTGTGTTTCTTCAAAGTTCTAAAGTCTAACTTTATACATACAATGCTGCTATTTCTGAATTTTTAACTCTAAATTAAGGATCTAGAAAAATTAACATGAAGAATTACCTGCTTGTCACAGTCCGAGGCTAAGCTATAATTGGTAAATTCTTGCATGATCTCTTCCTTTAAATCCTTGTAGGAATCATGTAGCTCAAACTTATTTAGCATTATCTGCCTGTGAATTTTTGTATTCCTCTACTTCTTTCTGAAACACGGATAGTTCTTGAAATTATTAGAGAGCCTACCTTCCCACTTTACAAAATCCTTGCAAAATTTATAAAAATTCTTTATTTTCATTGTATAGTCTTCTTTGTTTTCTAAAGGCTTGTCTCAACTGAAATACCGAGAATTAAACTATATAAAGTGATTAGGCCAAACCAAAGCTCATTTAGAGTTAAGAATCCTACCCTTTAGTCTTTTGAAATTCTGTATAAGTAACTCGATCATTTATTTCTTGAGAGATCTCGTTCATTTCATATCGAAGAGATTTCAAAATATTCTGAAACATTTCCAGGTCTTGCATACTTTTGTAATATTCTTGCTTAAAATTAGCGAATTCTTGGCCAGTTACCACATCGGATATTTGGGTCTATAAACCAATTATTTATAATGGGCCTCAATGTATTTGTGAAACTTCTCAGAAGAAACTTACTTGCTTTTCTTCCATTTTGAATAAATTTATATGAAAACAAGATTGGGGTTTTGGGGTTTTGGGGTTTTGGGGTTTTGGGGTTTTTGGGG